AGCACATGGTTTGAAGACAGCACATGGTTTGAAGACAGCACATGGTTAGATGCAGCGAGTCGGCTGCACAGAAACGTAACCTTGTGCCAACGAGTCCCTCACAAGCTCTCGTAATCAGAACATGCACAAACCCAGAAGCACACACTGACGTGGCTGAGACACAAGAGAACCTAAAACAAAATGTCTCGTGAGCCAGCAGTCAAAATTATTTAATTATGATTTTTTTTACATTTAATTATTTATGTTTTTCTTCTTCTTTTGGCTGCTCCCTTCCTCAGAGCGATGACTCACACAAAGACTTAGCAATCGTTTTTCACCGGATGTCCTTCTGGCACCACCACAGACCACCGAGCTACCACAGCCTCTGTGTGGAGCAGCTGGTGGAGGTTAAGGGATTTTCTCGAGGGCCCCGGGTGGGGCAGGTGTGGATGTTTAACTTTTTCCACCCACATTTTGATGTTGTGTCTCTGGGGGTTTGAACCGGCGACCTTCCGATCACAGGCCCACCTTCTCTAACCTCTGCACCACCACTCCACCAAAGGTCCAGCCAGCAGTCAAAATTAAACTTTCTTATCTGCAACTATTTGTGGGGAGCGGTGGCACAGAGGTTAGAGAAGGTGGGCCTGTGATCGGAAGATCGCTGGATCAACTCCCCGGACCGACAACATCAAAATGTGGGTGGAAAACATGAAGCACCCACACCTGCCTCCACCCTCATTTGCCCCACTCTGGGCCCTTGAGCAAGGCCCTTAACCCCCACCATCTGCTCCCCTGGGCGTCCTAGATGGCAGCTCTCTGCTCCACACAGAGGCTGTGGTAGGTTGGTTGGTCTGTGGTTGTGTCAGGAAGGACATCCAACGTAAACACAATTGATAATAATTGATGTTTTGGGTGGTCCCCTCTCTTGGATCAGTTTTGGCCCCCCATTTGGTGGGTCGTACTCCCCTCCGGTGGTGGGCCCCCCTGCCGCCGGTGCATTGGCAGCTCCCAGCAGCTGGGGCTGGGTGGTGGGGTGTGTGCAGGCCTGCCCTGGTGGCTGCCTGCGGGGGCCTGGGTGCCCAGGTTCTGTCAGGCCTCTGTTGGGGGGTGGTATGACCTCGGGACTCGGGGCTTGGTGTCCATGGCCGGATCCACTCTGGAGGGGCGGGTTGCCGGCGGGGCCTGTTGACTCGTCGCTGCAGCCTCCTGAGGGTTTCTGCATTGTGGTTGCTGGGGATCGCCCGGGGCTTCCCTTTGCTTCTGTCTCTGGGGGGTGCGGGCGTCCCTGTTGGGGGACTCCTGGAGTTCCGGGCTTGGGGGCCGCTGTGTGTCTGTGGTTCCGGTCTTCCCTGTGTTACCTCGTGTCCTGTGGGGACGGGTCTGTGGATCCCCACATCCACTATTGAACATTTTTATGGAGAAACCTTAAAGTGACATCATGCTCACACAGGTGTTTAGATCCAGGTGTTTATCAGATACACACTCAGTTGGGTTGTGGTGGCCACTAAATACATCTTGTATTACCATGTACTGTATAAAATACTTTCTAATGATGTTATAAGTATCATTATATATGTTGTTTGTTGTTGTGGTTTCTCAGTTTTGTCTCGTCTTCTTCTTTCCGCAGGTCTAGAGTCAGACTTCAATGATGTTGATTTGTGTTCTCTTTATCTCTCTCTCTCCTCTATTCCTATCTTCTTCTTTACCTTTAAACTCTTCTCTCACTTTTCTGCTTTGTTTTCTTCTTTGTTTTTCATCCCCGTGTCCATTACATCTGAAACAAACCCGAAGCAAATTCTAATAAAATTTAATTTATATATCAAGCAGAGCATTAAGGCCAGTCATGATGCTCTGCTTGTGAAAGTAAATCTGTTGGGCATCACTTTGACACTCGGACAATAATTCTAAGTGTCACAATGCCGGACAGGACAAGGGGGGAAAAAACAACAACAATTGATAAGTCTTTGTATGAGTTAGTTCACTGTGGCGACCCCTGAAGAAGGGAGCAGCTGAAAGAAGAAAAAAATTGAAGTAGTCACATGTGTGCCAGAGGTTCCCTGGGGTCAAGAGTGTAACGTTTCATTCACAGCTTCACGCTCCTCAGATGAACCGTCACCTTGACAGATCAGATTCAGACGATGAACAGATGTTCAACTTAATCCCTGACCTGTTGAGTCTGTTCCTTGGTCTTCATGATGCTCTTTGACCACCAGTGTTCTGTAACAAACCTCTGAGGCCTTTACAGAACAGCTGGATCCATACAGATGTTAAATCACACCCAACTGGTGACTTCTAGAGGTGGTTTGTTGGGTGTCAGTTTGGGGGTATAATTATTAACGCAAGCTGCACTTTTCACGTTTTGTTGTAGTAAATGTTGAAAAATCATCATTTTCCTTCCACTCCTCCATCATGCACTACTTTGTGTTGTCCTGTCCCGTAAAATCCTGTAAAATACTTTTAACGTGACAAAATGTGAAACGTTTTAACAGTTTTGTTCACGGTGCAGTCCTTCGTTTCGTCTCACGCTGGCCTGTGTGCACGTTTTAAGGTGCAGGCCGAGCTGAAGAAGCGCTTCTGGAAGTGGCAGACCCAGAGTTACCTGAGCTACAGCAAGCGGCGGCGTACGCTCTTCAACGAAAGCAGCACCATCACGCAGATATCCGTCCTGGACAAATCCAGCCCCAAAGACAAGCCGAGCTCCGAGGGACAGGCCCTCACGTCCCACAGCGTGTCCACGGTTTGAAAACAAAACAGTTGAACCTCAGCGTTGAAGCTACTTCTTATGTTTGCACAGTTGATTTCTCCTGTTCAGCGAATGTGAGACGTTTAAAGTTGCTGAAGAAGTCGACAACATCTTTGACGGTGAACTTTCCCCCAAGACGGCAGAGATTAAGCTTCTTCCGTTGTTTCGAGGTCGAAGGCTTTTTGAGTTGTTTTGTTCACTTCGTGACTTACTGAGCTGCTCACAAACCAGATGGGTGTCAGGAGCTGCTGGAGGACGTTTTCATATATTAAAACTAAACAAATCGAGTCGAATTAATCACAGCTGAGGTGAACATCACTTTCATTCACACCACCCGGTGGATTAAAGCTCAGAACGTTGAGTCCGTCTCCTCTGCTGGGTCCGTTGGTGCCGACAAGCTGCTCGAGCAGACGATTAGCCCACACTGGAGCAGAACTGGACAGGACATATTTATAAATGATAAATATGCTCCACTGGAGGTGTCAAAGTTTCTGGTTTCTGTCGGTTGTTGCGTTTGTAGCAGCTGCAGACATAATTCACCTTTTTTTTTAACAATATTCTGTTTTCCTGTCTTCGGCACTGGCATCACTCCTTCAGATTCCTGGTTTCATGAACTTTGAACCTCCCCCAGTGTTGACGTCACCCTGATCCTTTTTGTTCTGGGCTCATTTTCCCACGATGCCGTGCGGCTCGTCTTGCAACATGTTGCACAGTGCGTTAGCGCACGTCTGGAGCACGAGACTGTAAACACGTTTTGAGTCAGTCCCGTTCTTGTTCTGATGAGTTTGTGTGAACGTAGAGATCATTTTAATATAAACTGATGTTTGAACTGTAATATAAATCGGATGTTTTTTAATTTTTATTTTTTATTAGTAGATCATAAAACGTGGAGAAATTTTAAGCAAATATTGATTAACAGTCATAATTTGCGAGATGAAGAAACTAACTTTTGGTTGAAAAATGTGTGTTGATTAGGCACGATAACAAATTTTGTGGGCGATTAATTGTCTCAGAAATTATTGCGATAAACGATAATATTGTTTGAAATTTGGCAATAATTAGTAATTATTGTCAAATTTAAGAAGATTTGTTGGTTAATTTTTTGTGTAGTCCCTTTTTGGACCACTGGATGGCAGTATAAGACCATTTGAACTGAAGGATGGATAGTGAGGGCGCGAGCAGCGTGTCTCTTTAAGAAAAATGGGAGGGAGGCTCCTTGACATGACATGAGCTGTAGTGATGTTCGATACCAGGATTTTCTGGTCCGATACGATATCAGGTAAAATTCATGGGAGTATCAGTGGTATCGACGCCGATACTGATACTTTTTGCAAATACGCCTAATTTGTCAGGTAAACCTAAAAAAAAGCAGTGTATTCAAATCAAAGATGCATAAAAAATGCAAGACAAAGTAATTTATTTAATTAAACTCAGGAGTATGTTGTTGCAGTGGTCTCATTTAGTCTGAGCTTCTAAAACAAACAGGACATCATACAAAATATGTGAAAATAGTTTTTCAAACAATAATTTAGACATTTAGACAAGATCTCAATAGTTTAGTTACTTTCCACCATTTTCCTGTTAATGATGTGCATTATCTGAAATGACTGAAGCATCAAAACTATCGATAGTTTGATTTAAACATCAATTCTAGAGCGAAACATTCTGGCATCGATATTGTAGTGTCAACCCGCACATCACTAATGGTCTGTCTCTCTTTGGTTTTCAAAATGGCGGACGCTCAGTGTGGTTTGAGCTCTTCAGCATAACATCGTTCACACAAAGATTTTAATTAAAAAAAAATCAGTAAACAAGTTCTCAGCTTCTTTTTGCAGAGAAAAACAACTTTTTGCACAAAGGCACGGGTTTCAACCGTGAATTCTGGAGCTTCGACAACACGGAAGTTTTTTTCCTGAGGTCGGCCTGTTAGCTTAGCTCGTAGCTTAGCTGCTTTTAACGATCCAAAAACGCAATTTTGGATCGTTAAAACAGATTTCAAACAGAAAAGAGAACAGGAGGGGTCAGTGAAGAGCGCCGGAGTTGAGCTTTTTTGTCATCCAGTGTCTTCAGTAGAAAGAGAGAGACACGAAGAAACGATAGAGCCGATAAATAAAAATGAGGTCGATCATTTTCATTTATCATGCGATTAATTGATTTATTTTTTATCGCAAAAGGCCTGGTGTTGATAATATTTTATGTGTTTGTATGTATTTTTGAACACGTGTGCAGTGGAATGCACTCCACGTGCACATCATGTACATGCATGTACAGTTCTGTCTGTGGTTCACTCCGGTGCCTTCTCCGTGCAGTGTTTCTGCGCTGACGGTGTCCAGATGTGTTTGTGACGCCAGCAGACGCTCCGGCTCAGCAAACGTGCGTTTCTTGCTCTGTTGCAGAGAAGGTCAAGTATTGTACTTCAGGGGAAACAACAAAGCAGTTTTGACATTTAAAACTGCCGCACAGACTTCACGTTTGATTTGGTGACTTGTTCGAGTTCCTTAAAAGACAGAAATCTGAGCGAAAACCACGAGAATCTCACAGAATAGGTATTTGCAGCATGTTTGAATTTGTACCCAACTTCCAATAAATTCAGCATTTGTGCAACATTATTGCAAAAGTTTGCTAATTTATTCCTCTCAGTGTCGTCCAAGTTTCTTAATCACATTTTTTCCTCTGTTTTTGTGCAGAATCTCACCGGGTTGCAACATTTAGAGACTATCTGGCAACTCAAAGTTATGAGAGAGATGTCATTTTTGTTGCACTTCAAAACATTTTTAAAAAACATTTTTAAAAAACATGGCCTATTTTTGTGTGCACAGCTTACAAAATACATTATTGGGCTTGCACATTATTAAGTTGTCCATCTTTGCCCACTTTGCCCCCACCTCAGCTTGGCAGCTGATTTAATCTATAGATCAGGTTTAAATGCAGGGGGGGCAGGTTTGGACCAGGATTTTTAGGAGGTGGTGCAGTTTTTAGACCTGGGCGTGTACCTCAGATGTTTCTGTGAGAGGAGAGGTCCCATGCTCCAAGTCAGATCACAGCTCGAGTGTGACCGTTTGAGGAGAAAATCTGTTGAACAAATATTTCAAACGTCCCAAGATGTAGAAAAATCTGTAAAAAATGATCAAACTTAAACTGAGATTGTGTAGAAACTGTCAAAGTTTATGCAAAGTTGAGCCTTTAAATGATGTTTCTGCTAAAAACTGTCTGAGAGCTTTTAATCTCTGGAAGATCTCACGGGTAAAATTAGCCACACATTTACTTTCGTTTCCGTTTTTAGCCTAAAAATCTCTAAAATCATCAAAAAATGTCAAACCTCTCAGTAGCTTTACTGCCCTCTTGTGTTAAAAGTGTTAAAAGTGTATATATACATATATATATGTATATATATATATATATATATATATATATATATATATATATATATATATATATATATATATATATTACCAACAGAAGCTGGCTATTGGGACGTGGACGACCCGACCCCGGATAAGCGGAAGAAAATGGATGGATGGATGGATATTACCATAAAATAAATATTTTGTCAAATTTTAAACCTGAAAAATGGATTAAAAAAACTAAAGGTTCTTAGAGGTAAAATTAAAAGAAATGATCTAAGTTTAATATTTCTAAAAGGCTGACTAGTTTATTGTGAAGTAATTAATTCAAAAGTAGCATTTTCAGCAGAGAGCGGTTATTGATTTCCCGCTTAACATGACGCAGTGTTCGAACACGAATCTGCACTCCGACCCGCTTCACGCAGAATGAAACAAGGAACAAATGAACCAACAAGTTAAACATTTATTTTTATATTTGACAAAAAGAACAAACCGATACGATGCAGAATGAATGAAACCAGTGAAAGCTGATGATACATTCAACTTCTGAGCTTTAAACGGATTCTTACATGAAGCGGCTCAATGATACCATCAAGAAATAAACATCGGATGAAGCTGAAGCAGCTTCCATGGCCCCGTTTCCTCTCCCTCATGTCTGCAACATTCAAAGGAAAAGTGCTTTCATACAAAAGCTCGCCTTCCTCAGTGATTCTGCTCAGATTACTGTATTTTTTGGACTGTAAGGCGCACTTAAAATCCTTTAATTTTCTCTAAAATCAACAGTGAGCCTTATGTATTAATTCTGGTTGTGCTTACTGGCATCAAACTAATTTTATCCGTGCGCCTTATGGTCCAAAAAATAGGATAAAACACGTCATGCATCGTCCCATTGGAGACTTGGCAGAAAATACCGTCAGCTTCTGAAGAACACAAACACGAGAACGATCAGAAAGCACCAAGCTTTCAAACGGCAGCTATTTACAGCGTTTGCAGCTCGTTTCACACATTTCAACCACTTTACTTCGTCACGAACACTTGAACTACGTCATATTTCAGCACAAATATTTGTATTTGCAGAATCGGAGCAACATTTTGTCTGACATCAACAAAGTACCGGCGATTTAAGGCTCCGGCTGTTCTTTGAGTCGACCAAACAAAGGTCAAAGCTCGGGTCAGGGTCCGTTTGTGTGACCGGACCAGAACCCTGGAGGTGCTCAGTCTTCCCTGGAACCGTTCAGAGCCCTCTGGTGGGTTCTGCTGGGTTGGTGCTGCTGATACCGCAGCTCTGCAGCAGAACCGGACAGTTTCTGGTCAGCCCTTTGCTCAGTTTCAGCTCTGAAGAGATGGATCCTTTGAGCTTTGTTCAGATGATTCTTATTTTATTTAAACCAGAGCAACAAAATAAAACATTTCTTTAGTCCAAAAACTTTTACACGCATCTGTATGACATTTAAATACTAGACAGTTGGGATGCTGTGCAAAATCTAAATAAAAACAGAATGCAGTGGTTTTCAAGAGACCATACATCGTCCAAATAATGACTCGTTAATATTTCTTAAACTTAAAAAATAAAAATAAACACATGATGGGTGTAAATCTGGAAGCTGAGAGAGGAGTTATCTTGTTATGTCGATCTCACGGAGCTCGTTTTCTTAGAAAATGAACATATTTAGAACATTTGGTTAAACTTTAGTTTGTAGCCGTTAATCATTTTTGTGGTTTAAGATTTATTTTTATTTTTAAGTGTGACGTTTGTGGCACCAAGACCGACACAAGAACAACCTTTTTTTTTTTAATAATCAGCTTATTTTAAGCTAAACTAATTTGCTCTTTAAGATAAAATCTCTATTTTTAAGAAAACATGGATTTTTTTTTTTATTCTAGAGATGATAATTTATCTCCATAACAAAATAATTCCTGGTAATCTTGAGAAAATCCCATTAAATGTATTTATAGCAGCTATGAAGATGGAATGTTGGGACACATGATTAAACTGTACAGACGTGACCACAGTCTTCTTTTTAATTGTTTTTCAGTGTTTTTGTTTATAAATGTAACTTTTACTTTTAAAGTCAGAAAGTTTGAAGGTTTTAAACAGCTGATCCTTGAAACCTCACAGTTAAATACTGTAAATATACAAATATCACTGATAAATATATGATTTGAAACAGTTATTTAAAGTTTTTGTTGTTGTTTTGAAGTCACTTCCATTATTTGGCACTTTATATTTTTGTTTTGCTTATTCCTGATTTAAAAATAGTAATAATAATAATAAAAAATATATTCTGACCTCCTCGTCTGTAAGGAGCGATTAATTAGAAATCTGGAACGATCACAGTTAACTGGACAAAGTTACAACAAAAGCCAGTTAATTATACAGGATATATTCCTTTATGATGTAATTTAGCAAAGAAAATAATCAAACTTTTAATTTTACTTTCAAATTAAATCAAATGCGTCTGAGAAAACAGACTTAATTAATATGTTTGCGCCTTTTGTCTTCGATAAGAGTCCAAAAACTTGACAGATGATTCATAAAAACGTTCTTATTTTACATAAAATACATATGAAGTCAGTTTGACGTGAAATATACTGAAAACAAATCAGGAGCGGAGGAACACAAGCGTACTTCAGACTGAAGCGATGCTTTTTTAAAACAAATAAATCTGTGCCAACGAGCCTAAATTATAACTTCATATGTTTATTTTATGATTTGAATATATGTTTTTGGATTTTGTGGAAAATACCAGGAGCTAGAAAATCTCCAAGTAAAATATTTAAAATATTTACTGTTAAATAAATAATTCAGTCCTTGGTTTTGCGTCTCACAGCTCCAGTTTCTTCTTCTTTTATAGAAATAAGACATACAGATGTTTGGCACAGAAAATCTCTCCGCGAGGGATTTTAACGTCCGGTGAAACGCGTGTAAAACAACGAAAGCGCGTTTGTTCACGTGGAAATACCACGAAGCGTGACTGAAAACTGGTCGTACGTTTTGACTGTTCCAAGGCCTCCAGGTTTATTCAGAAAAACATTTTAATAACCCCTTCATTTATTTTATTTGCAGTTTTTTTAGTCTTTAAAGAAAAAGACAAAATCTTTGAACGCATCGACAGAAGTGAAGACAGTTTTTGTGCTTGAAGGCACTTCTGCAGACATGCAAAGGGTCAAAGGTCGCTGCAGGGACATCAGCTGCAGGCTCGGGGGGGGACTCATCTTTATCCAGAGTAAAAAACAAACTTGTTTTAAAAGCATCACGAGAAACACCAGAACCAAACTGCTGCTTCTTCAGAGAAAGGTTTTAAATGTTGCTTTTTCTGAAATGAAACCCCAAAACTACACAGAAAGAAATTAATCTCATAACAATCACTAACGTGTGTTGAAATAATTATTAAATAAAATCAAATTGTGCACGTTTTGGTCATTTCAATTATGAACTGTAATCTACACTTCTTTTTTTTTTAACAGAGTTCATCCTCGTCCTCTCAAACGTTACTGTCTTCACCCTCAGAAAGGTTCCTGTGTGAACAAATCTTTAACGGTTGACCCGACTGGCGACAGACTGGTCTCCATTCATAGATACTGGTTTCGCCCTCAGCTCCTCTCTGTCACAGACACATGCTGCGTTTAAGGACGGTTGGTTCATCTGAGTTCTCATCAGATTCAGATGTTTTCTCTCTCTAGTTATTCTAAGCGATTTAAAAAAAAGGGGTTTATTCTATATTTTAAAACTGTAAAAAAAAGGACTTAATTACTTCTTTAGACTGTGTGAATGGAAACATTATATTTAAATAAGCTGTGATGTTTTTATTTCTCCAGCTCAAAGAATGAAGTAGACAGAGGTGTTTTAAGAAGACCCTATAGAGCGGTTAGGGATGACCCTCGGCTTCTACCACAGCTAATCTTTAACACGATCTTTATACGTTTGAGTTCTCTGTGTTAAATATGTTCATGTAGCCAAATGTAACAAAGTCTGTTGCTTCACATTCCCTCGTATTTACCAATGTGTGCACACAGGAACCTTTATCAGCTGTGAAAAGTGATGTTTAAAGTCTATAAAATTTAACATTTGTTCATTTTTACTGCAAAATTGTAGGGATGCACAATATTATCGGCATGGTATCATCGGCCGATATTGGCGTTAAATTTAAATATCGGGCATCGGCCATTCCATCGAAATAACTCACCGATATAAAAGATCCTGTTTTTGTACGACGACCCAGTGACGAGGACGCCTGCGGCGCCAGCACGACGTGATGACGTCACGTGCACCTACCTGATCTGATCACGGCGGAGAGGAAGAGGTCAAAATGTCGGCGGTGTGGACGTTTGTTTTCAGCGAGGATGTCGGATTCTGAAGATTTTTGTTCTACGTCGAGCCTCGCTACATCGTCCCCACTCAGAGATATTTTTCTGACGTAGCCTTAACGAGTTACAAGCCGCCATTTCCGACGTCACTGAGAAGCTAACAGCCGATAGCACGACTTGTTGGGTGAGTTTTACCACAGACATGTGGACGTCGTGTTAGCCCCGTTAGCATGACGAGTCTTACGGCACGATGGATAGACGAAAACTTTGAACTTAAAAAGTTTGTCCTTCATGCACAGGAGTGCAGCTATAGGAACCTGGAACAAACCTCCACAAGTGAGACCGCATCGCAGGTGACTAATGCTAATAACATTTAACACTTTTCTTTTAATATAAGTTGAGGTGCTGTGCATTTGGCTGTTACTGAATATATGTCACCAGCTCTTACACAGTTTTTATATCAAATAAGAAGCCTAAATTAGAAGGTTATGATCTGACAAAGGGAAGTTTATTTAAAGTATCGGTATCAGCCAAATACGTTTTATCACATCGGATATCGTCCAAAAATCCAATATTGTGCATCCCTACAAATTGTTTTAGCCATGAGCAGATTGTTTGATATATCAATGTGGATTACAAAAAAAAACACACCTTTAATGTTACCCAAACGTGCACAGATTGTCCACATTTGCACGTATTATGAGACTAATATTGCTCCATACGTTTCATAAAAGGACACCGTCATTAAAGACCCAAAGAGACAGGAGGACCGGGTCAACACCAGAACAAACTCAACACCCAGTTAAAACACTGAATGCTCACACTTAGCGCACGTTTCGTTGTTTCAGCTTCATGCGGTCAGGTGAACTCCTGGGTTTCCCTTCAGTTTAGTTTGTTGACATTTTCTGTACGAACAGCTGGTTCTGACTAAACAAGCGACTTCGCCCGCGCAGGGCGGAGCTTAGCAGGAGTTGTGTGGTCGTATTCGGTGAACCTCAAACACCTGAGGACAGTTCAGCGTCTAACTCTGCTAATTTCGGCCTTTGATTGGGTTTTTCACAATAAAATTCCGTTTTTTTTTTCTCTCCTCCACATTTGTGTCCTTCACAGCTTAAACGTTAAATATTAGTAATATTTTATTCACAGTCAAAGTTTGTGTAACAGGAGAGCTGAACGGGTTTGACGTTAACATCACGGCCCCTTTGAGATCTTCCCGTCAGGGACACTGAGAAGAGTTTCATGGATGAACGGATCAATAATTGAAGCAGGAGAGGCAGATTTATCCTGGACTGTGATGTACGTCTACATTTAACCCTCCTCGCTCCAACCCGTCAACACACTTTGGGTTAGAAATGTGCTCAAACTGATCTTCAGCTTCTCCACTGCTTGATGAGGAAACTGGTTTCCAGAGGAGTTGTGAAGTATTTACACCGGGCTGAGCTGCTTCAAAGAGGAATGCATGAATGGTTTGGTCTGAAACCATTTCTGACGGACTGGAACGGTCGGAGGACTCCCTGGTCCTCTTGTAGCACCGGACGTTTTTACACCAATATATACAAACAGACCTGTCCACTTCCTGTTTCAGCCTGGAGTCCTTCATCAGCAGAAGATCCAGCTCCTCCTGGGTCAACGTTTGGTGCGTTCAAGGTTCAGACGAGAGGCTGTTTCGAGTCGCAGAAGCTCAGTTGCGTTTCCATCACGGTTTCATCGGGGCACGGGTCGAGGAACGAGTTGTTGAGGCAGGTCATCGGGATGGGCGGGGCGGGGTCGCTCAGGTGGCCGGGCTCTCGGCCTGCAGGCTGGACATTCGGATCTGGGAGCTGCTCTTGCTGAGGATGGACAGCTGCGTCCCCCCGTTCACCCCACTGCTCGCCAGCGAAGGATGCCGGTTCTTCAGGTCCACAGCAAAGTACCTGTTCACCGTCCAGCTGCGCCATTTCCTCTTGATCTCCGATTGCACCTTGAGGGATATACTTCACAAGGTCATTATTAATGGACCTCGCTGGAAGGAGACCAGCTCACTGTCCCTCAGGCTCTGCTCAGACCCGGCACCGACATGTTCCCTGACTCACCCGTCTCATTCTTCACACGTTAACAAAAGCTCAGCGGCTGTTTGCTGCACAAACAATCAAAAGTCTTGCGAAGCTAACAGCAGCGCCTCGTTTTGTTTCAGAGACCAGGATCCGTATCAGCGCCGGGTCTGACCAGGACCTCAATCTCTAATCAGACTAAAAACACTCTTACAGTTTGCACACAACTAGAATCTGCTGGTTGTCGTTATAAATCTGTGCCTTTCTGTCCTTCATGACGTCTTTACAGAACACAAAACAATTTATTTATGATGAGGATACAGGAGAACATGCTGTTTATCTGCATGAAAATAAATATTTAATGGTCAAAATTTAAAACAGTACTTTCTCACATTTCCTGGTTTTTGATTGGGTGAAAGAATGAATGAAAAATGTTCATTAAAACAATAAATAAATATTCAGTTTTCAACAACTTAAATCCTGATTCTTGTGTAAAACTGGCTTTAGGGTTCAGCTTTCTTTGTTCGGTTAGAGAAGCAGTGAGCGTGTTGAGATTTACCTCTCCGTTCAGGAAGCAGTAGAGGACGGCCACCACGAAGCCCTGCAGAGACACAGACGGACCCCATGAGACCAAAAACCAGGCATGCCTTCAAGAGATGCACATCTACCACCGCCTTTCGTGCCAGAGTTTTAAACTGGGACCGCTTTAGGTGGAGAAATGATGAAGATGGAGCTGACTCTCAGCTACTACCACATCAAATTGAGCTCAGTGTCTGTGAAAGTGACAGGCTGTGGGAGCTGCCGTCTTGTAACCCTGAGGCTGCAGGTTCGAGGCCAGGCTGTGTCAGGAGGAGCATCCTGCGTAAAACAAACACCACATCTTTCATGCAAACTGCTCGCTGCGGTGACCCCTGAAGAAGGGAGCAGCAGTCAGCCACACCCACCCTCACCTGCTCCCAGTCTGTATTCAACCCAGGCAGTGGTGGGATGTAACTAAGTACAAGTACTTCATTACTGTATTAAAGTACATTTTTCATGTTTGTGTACTTTACTTAAGTAGAGTTAAATGTGGGTACTTTCTACTCTTACTCCATTACATTTTACATTAAGGATCTGTACTTGCTACTACACTAAATTTCTATAATGCGTTGCGTTACAAGTTACATTCACATTGCGTTTTTTTTACTTGTCTGTTAGTTTGAAAGTAACCAATGGTGAGAGTGGAGTTGGTCCATTGAATCACTGAAAAGTGGGCAGGTAACGTTAAACCTGCCTTCAAGAAGAGCTGGACCAATGAGGTATGTTCTAGTAGAGACATCACTGAGCTGGGCACACCCACAGCACCACTAACACACCCAAAATGGATTTCACCGCTGAGTCAACCAGAAGATACGCTCCACCCATGGCCTCATTCAAAGACTGTTGAAATACTGTTGAAACTCTATTGAAAGACTATTGAAAGACTGTTGAAATACTATTGAAAGACTGTTGAAAGACTATTGAAAGATTGTTGAAAGACTATTGAAAGACTGTTGAAAGACTATTGAAAGACTGTTGAAAGACTATTGAAAGATTGTTGAAAGACTATTGAAAGACTGTTGAAAGACTGTTGAAAGACTGTTGAAAGACTATTGAAAAACTATTGAAAAACTGTTGAAAGACTGTTGAAAGACTGTTGAAAGACTACTTAAAGACTATTGAAAGACTGTTGAAAGACTATTGAAAGACTGTTGAAAGACTGTTGAAAGACTGTTGAAAGACTGTTGAAAGAATATTGAAAGACTGTTGAAAGACTATTGAAAGACGACTTAAAGACTGTTGAAAGACTATTGAAAGACTGTTGAAAGACTATTGAAAACTATTGAAAGACTGTTGAAAGACTATTGAAAGACTGTTGAAAGACTGTTGAAAGACTATTGAAAGACTATTGAAAGACTGTTGAAAGACTGTTGAAAGACTGTTGAAAGACTGTTGAAAAACTATTGAAAGACTGTTGAAAAACTGTTGACAACTTTTACGTAAATGTGTTTACTGCAGTTAAAATGACACATTGGTTTTACTTTGTGTTAAATAAAAACTTTCAAAGGTATAATCATTCCTCTTTCTTATTTTGCTTAATGGCATTTAACTCTGCAGGTCATCACTGAAACTCTGACGCACAGAATCACAAGTCCAAGTGTGAACTGTGTCACAGAGTAAACACAATAAAAACATGTATTATCTGCAGCATTGTTCATTAAAATGGCTCAACACTACTAATGTATTACAGAAAATATACAGACGGTAGGCACACTTAATGATACTGTAGACCATTGCATTGGGTAATACATTCAGCAAGTACTTTTTCTTTTAATACTTGAAGCATTTTTAAACACAAGTACGCATTTACTTTTACTTAAGTTAAAAACATTAATGTGGTACTTCTACTTTTACTAGAGTACATTTTGTCTGTTTATTTGTGCTTTTACTTAAGGACAGTGATTGAGTACTTTCTCCACCACTCAACCGAGGTCTCTCCATTTTCTCATCAGACCTTTTCTGCTGGATATATTCAGTCGTTTCTTTTTCTCTCGTCGTCATCGTTGACGTTTCTGCAACAAGTCCCGTCTCACTGAGCTTTTCTTGTGAATCTTTCTTCAGTGGTTTCCAAAGATTTTATTTACCACGTTTCATCTGCATCCTTGGACATGGACCTCTTACTACACAGTTATATGTTGGCAATGGTCAACTGGCTGTGGCGGCCATCTTGGATCAAGCTGACTCCAGAAGTTGTAAACACATATTTAATGTTGATTTTCCAAGAGTTTTATGATGATTTGTCTGGTAGTTGTGGACATGATACATTATCGCCCGCCTTTTGTGGTGGCGGCCTTGGATCAAAATGACCCCTGAGGCCTCGGATTTAAAACCGAAGCCTTGTTTGCAGAGTCCAGTGATAAAACACGATCAAATCTCGTTATCCCACCACCACCACCACCACCATTGTAAAATCTTTCCTGACAGGCGTTTGTTCTCACCTGGAAGGATCCGAGGCCGAGCTCGAACACCAGACGCTCCCTCTTGCTGACGTTCTCTGGAGAAAAGGCGAACACGGTGTAGTGGATCCCAAAGAGCGGGATCAGCAGCAGCGTGGAGCGGGCCAACCTCCTGCAAAACAACACGCCCGTGCACGCGTGTGTGTGCACGGACAGTCCAGTTAGAAATGATTTACAAGAAAACTGCAGTTCGGTCTCGGGTTGAAAAAGTTTTGATGAGAAAAAGGAAACTCTCACAGGTAAATGCTTGATTCGTTACCACCGATATCTGGGGACTGGAGCTTCTGGACCAGGATGACGATGATTCCGATGAAGAGCACAAAGTTGATCTGCAGACATAAAGGCCTATTTTTAACAAACCATTTAATTTATGGAACTAAACTGGAGTGGGCTAAACAGAAAAACAGAGTCGCTTTGTCGTTTTCTGTTAAAATCCCATTCATTTTTACAGGAATCAGCAAATTTTCCAGTTTTCTGGAGAATTTCAGGGCAGAAATTCTGCATCTCTTGTGTCAGAGACTTACATTGTAAGAAAAGAGATCACTTTCTGAATTTTGGTGTAAAAACTTTAACTGTGGAGTTAAAACCGTGGAAGATGGAGGCAAGTTAAATAAATCAGTGTCGTTGTTCCTACCATGATGGAGGCCAGAACCGGTCCCTTTATGACCCACCAGATGGCAGCGTTGTCGTTCATGTCCCAACACCTGAGGGAACACAAAGATCTCAACACAAACACACCTCAACATGAAACTCATCACCGTCCATCAATCACCAACCAACCCAAGATCATCGAACTGCAGCCTCAGCACCGCCCAGATGGTCACACACACCGTCGGCGTTCCTGATGTAACACACACACAATAAGTGTGTGTTTCAGAAGCTGGATCAGAGCGTGTGTGAAGATCTCTCACCCCAGCCGATGATGATGTACCAGTAGAAGTATCTCTTCTCGGGGAAGAAGGTCTCCACCAGCAGAGTGAAGAGGTACAGGCCCTCGATGAAGAGCCAGAAGTAGTTGGAGAGGACGCAGTAGTGGAAGAATATCATCACCGCTCGACACTCCAGCTTCAGGAAACGAGGGGCGGCAGTGAGCACCTGGAGAATCACTAACAGGTGTGTGTGTGTGTGTTACTCACCGTGTGTATGAAGCAGTGGTCGCTGTCCTCTTCGGCGTACAGCACACCGTCTTTGATGAAGACAGAGATGGCCCTCAAGATGAACGACACAAAGAGGTTCATGTGGATGAAGTTCCGGGTGCAGTGGAGCTTCCTGTCAGGAAACCAAAGCGTGTCGCGTGATTGGACGATCTTAACGAAGGACGTGTGAGAGACGTCAGAGTCTCACCTGAACCTGCACAGGATGACCATGGCTGTGGTGAGGGACACCAGGGAGGTGCTGTAGCCCACCGTGTACAGCGCCTTCACCGACACGTAATACATCTCCTGAGACGAAAACACGACGTGAGCCGAACAAACTCGAGGCCCGAGGGCCAAATATGGCCGTTTCTAACATCTCACCTTCCCCCGAGATGATGTTTTAGAAGTAAAATGTTTTTATTGCCTCTCATTTTACTTAAAAAAAAAAAAAAACGAGCATTAATTTATTTAGCGCATTCTCATCATAGTTTGCCAACTCTGAAGCCAAGAAAAGATAGATTGAATTTTTCAGTAGCCTAAAGCAGTCCCTCACTACTTCACGGTTCGTTTATCGCGGACTCTCTCTATCGCGGTTTTTCAAATTAAGATTGGACACGACGCACAACTTGATGGAGGAGCTGCATGTTCGGCATGGAATTTTTATTTAGAATTAAATATTTAGAATTATTTAGCACCTGCTGCACCTTTGTGCAGCCCACACTGCAGGACAGTCTTCCTGCTGCAGCTGATCAGCTGTCCACCGTGCAGAGCGGAGAAGTGGGCGTGGCTAACAGCACTTGCAGGTGGCAAAGAGCAGCGAAGGCAGAGAGCTGAAATCATGACATTCTGTGCTGTTTTAGAGCTTTTAGAGTTTAGAAACATTGTTTAGAATATTGCAAGAGTGTGGGACGAGGGATTACTGTAAATTATAATTTTGATGCAGACGGAGCAACAGAGAACATCACACGCAATCGTTCAGACTTGTTGAGGAACCTGCAACCAATAAACAACGTCAGGTTTGACTGGAGGTAAAAGATAGACTGAAACTGGCCCTTCGTTGGGAATGAGTTTTTACTTTTGGCCCTTTTACTAACAATTTGACACCACAGACTCAAAGTGATGAACTCACCGGGTGCGTCCTGTTTCCCTCCTCGTACAGGCAGGCGTCCACGTAGTGAGGAAAGGTCTCCGACCAGCCGAACTCGGTGCAGTTTTTACTCACCTTCCCCACCTCTGTGGGCGCAGAAAACTTCATGAGGTCACAACAAACATGACGGTATTTAATACGTGAAACCAGAGGAGGGCAAAACTTTAGAAAACTGATCCTAATGAAGCTTTTTGTCCTGCAATAATCTAAATTAGACGCACCCAGGCTTTCTGTGAGTTAGCTGGTTAAAGGTCAAAGGTCATGGCAGGACAATTAAAACAAGGCAGCATGGTTTGTTTGAAGGCTGCAGGAGAAAGACTTTAAAAATAAAAGCATGGCAACACGACTTTGGTCCATTTAGTTTCATCTGAACCACAAGGCTTATGGAACAAAACCAGACCAAATAGGAGATGCCTACCCAGAATGCACTGCAGCACAAACACCTTACACCAGCTGGGATGCATGGTGGTGGAGTGCTGCTGATATGGGCTTGTTTCACACTAATATTAACCAAACTCACTTCACAGCTCACTTTAAAAGCCTGAGTGTTTGACAGAATGCACTAAATGAACGATAACGACATGAACAGGAGTCCCCAGACACTGACCGTAGTCTTCCTCACTGATGAACTGAGAGAAGAGTTCAGGGCAGTTGACCTCGATCACTTCACCCAGCTTGGCAGGCTGCCAGCACGTCAGGTTGTCCCAAAACCACGGACAGTCTGAGGAAACGACACAAACACACAAAAACCGTTTCAATTTCAAGTTTTCATCGCAGCGTCTTCATCGCAGCATCTTCATCGCAGAACATCAACAGGTGCCGGAGGATTTTCTGTCACCGATGCAGGAGCTTTGTATCTCAAAGACAGAACGTTTTAATTTTTAAATTAACTTTGTGTGCACACGAGCTCTTTGTGACTCTGTTTCATCCATAAAACCACAGAAGAGTGTGAAAGGTGGCCGGCAGATTTGATTTATGTCAAATAAATAAATAAAATCAAGGCCAAAAATGAAGAGGTAAGATTTTTGACACAAAATAATAGATTTTTTTTAAATGGTTTTGCTTTATAAAAACATATTTTCCCTCTAGAAATATAAAAGAGTGAAAATAATCCTAATTTAATCATTTCTGCAGCTGTAACATATTATTTCAAACTAAATAACTTAGATTATAGAAAAGTCAACATTTAGATTAAAAAATCTGTAGCGGAGGAGTTTTATATGAAGCTGCACATTTAAAAACAAAACTGTAACATTTGATTTTATTCCTTTAGACGTGTCCGTTTGTTTGTTTGCATCGATCTACTTGGACCTTTTTCCTGTTTAGCTCATGTGTTTCCTCCAGCAGCAGAAAAACTTCTACAACCTCAGATCCAACCACAAAACTTCTGTTTTTGGCTTCTTATGGGGAAAATAATCTTTAGCAATAGAATAAATATTCAGACTTTTAAGAAAAATAGTCACATGATCAATTTTCCCCTGAGAAAAAAGTGTTAGCAGAGGAACAACTATAAAAAAGATGTGATATTTTTAAAGTTTGTTGACGTTTCGGTCCCTAAACAATCTTTTGGTTCACATTGCTGGTTCACAAGTCGGACCCTTCAGGGTGGGAGTTGGACTCCACCAGAGCTGCCACTTGTCACCGACGCTGCTCAGAACTTTTATGGACAGAACTTCTCGGTGCAGCCAGGGGGTGGAGGGAGTCCGGTTCCGTGGCCTCAGGATTCATCTCTGCTCTTTGCAGATGATGTGGTCCTGTTGGCGTCATCGTGCCGTGATCTCCAGCTCTCACTGGAGCGGTTCGCAGCCGAATGTGAAGCAGCTGGGATGAGAATCAGCACCTCCAAATCTGAGGCCGTGGTCCTCAGTCAGAAGAGGGTGGATTGTTCTCTTCAGGTCGAGGGTGAGGTTCTGCCTCAAGTGGAGGAGTTCAAGTATCTCAGGGTTTTGTTCACGAGTGAGGGAAGAATGGAGCGTGAGATTGACAGATGGATTGGTGCAGTGTCTGCAGTATTGTGGACTCTGCGCCGGTCTGTTTTGGTGAAGAGAGAGCTGAGCTGAAACGCAAAGCTCTCTGTTTACCGGTCAGTCTGCATTCCTCCCCTCACCTGTGGTCATGAGTTGGGGTAGTGACTGAAAGAATGAGATCACGGGTGTAAAAGGCGGGTGAAATGAGTTTCCTCTGCAGGGTAGCTGGACTTTCCCTTAGGGATAGAGTGAGAAGTTCAGTTATCGGAGAGAATCTGAGTAGAACTGCTGCTCCTCCACATTGAGAGGAGCCAGTTGAGGTGGTTCGAGCATCTGGTATGGATGCTTCCTGGGCACGTCAGACTGGGAGGAGACCATGGGGAAAACCCAGGACACGCTGGAGAGACTACGTCTCTTGGTTGGCCTGGGAACACCTTGTGGTCCTCCCAGAAGAGCTGGAAGAGGAGAGAGATGTCTGGACCTCCCTGCTCAAGCTGCTGCCCCCGAGACCAGAACAAGAGGAAGATGATGGATGGATGGATGGATGGATGGATGGATGGATGGATGGATGGATGGATGTTCGGATGGATGTTTGGATGGATGGAGCATTTTAGAGGATGAACTAATCAAAGGTTGGAAGCATTAAAAACTCCTTGCAGAGGCTTTTTGCTGTTTTTTTTTAGCTAATGTCTTTATTGGAGGCAGATTTCAATCATTTAAATGTCATTAACAAAGAAAACATCACCAAAGAAGTTTTTTTTTTTTTGTGGCATAATTTGTACTCAATAATTTGTACTCTTAATAAATTGTACTCTTAATAATTTGTACTCTTAACAATTTGTACTCTTAACAGTTTGTACTCTTAATATTGCAAAAACGAACTTTTCTGCCAGAAAAAACTGAAATTTCACTTGTCTAATGTTATTTATTGTTATTTATTGTTATTTATTGTTATTTATTGTTATTTATTGGGGAGTGGTGGAGCAGAGGTTAGAAGATGGGCCTGTGATCGGAAAGTCGCAGGGTCAACTCCCAGTACCGTCAACATAGAAACGTGGGTGGAAAAGGTGAAACACCCACGCCTGCCTCCACCCTCATTCACCCCACCCTTTGCTGCTGTATAAATAAAGGGTAAATGGAAAAAATTAACATGAGCATTTCTCAAGATCAGGTTAAATTTAAATGTTTAGCTGTTAAATTCACCTGCACGTCTTTAGGTTTTTTTCACTTTGACCTGATTACAAATTGATATTTTCTCCTCAAACGTAAACACTTTGCTCGCCACAGACTCCTTATATCAGCTGGACGGGTTCTACAAACAGATAAATGACGTTTAGAGAAACGTTTTTCGACCAGAACATCGTTCTTTTTTTTAAATAAATCACTTCAACAGGAGGAAAAATTGGACTTGTGCACCCTGTAAGTCATAAAAAAACATTTTTAACAAGTGTTGGACTTTTAATTACTAATCACCCCTAACCAGAGGGAGAACAATGTGCTGAGATGAGGAGCAGGAGACAAACCCAGCAGGTTATTTTTAGTCCAGAAGAGCTCCTCCATCATTTTATCTTTGACAGACACCCGTCACTCAGGGATCCACTTCATCAGCAGACTTCTTCCAGCTCGGCCTAAACGTAGAAACGACTTTCTTCTGTTGCATTTTTTCCGTTTCTGCAGGAGCTCAGGCAGAAACAGAAGCTCTCTGACGACTCAGGTCAGAGTTAACCGCAGCTCGTCGACTCCTCCGCTCCTCGTTAGCGCCACGACCCTGAAGACGTTCCGTTATTAACCTCTGCTAGTTCTTATTTTAATTAGCTCCCCGTTGAAAGCTGTTAGTGGTTCAAGCAGAGGGATTAAAGGCTGAAACAACAGATTCATGAGTGACAGCTCACCGAATTCAGCCTCAGACTCATCGGAGGCCATCATCTCCAGGCATTTCTCCTGCTCCCTCTTGATCACACAGTTAGAGGGGACCTGCTGCCTCGAACCCTGAAAACCAAGAACAAGTCAGAGACAGGGAGAACTACGGCTCCTGTCCAGGATTCCTTTAAACAGCCAGTTCAATAAATCAGGGCACCCTTTAGTCCAAAGCATTTTTCTGGAGAGGCTTTCAGGTTTGCACTTTTCACGCCGTTTGTTGAAGACCCAAAGAGAGGAGTGAACCGCGACTGTAGACACGGGGTTAAGGTCCAGAGACGACGTCGTCACGGTCTCTGAGGACCAAGGCCAAGATCTCGTGTCTCACTGCTGAGGTCGGTAGAACAAAACACGACATCACAGCTTTTAGTCCCAGGGCACCTCGTTTATCTGATGAGCTCATGCGATGGCTCAGGAGTATTCACACGATTCTTTTCGGAGTAATAAAGAACAAACGACGTTTTACTGAACACACTTGGCAGCGACGCCTCTACAGGCTCAGTGTTGGAGCTCAGTCGTGTTTTCAGCGACAATTTCACTGAAAACTGTGTCTCCTGGGACGGCAGCTGCTGGAGACATGAAATAATGTGAACTTTTGATTAGAGTCGCACTGAAATGATCATTTGACGTCGTACTGGGGCCATGGAGCAAATGCTGTAATTTAAACGCAAAGGTTAAATAAATATTGTCTCATTGTCACAAAGTTTGTTTTCTCAGTCATCCAGGTATATAACAACAAAAAA